AAACTGCACGGAATGTAAGAGAGTCTTTTTCTTAAGAAATACACATTGGAATATTGAAGGAGAAAGTGCGTGATGCATGAACTCAAGTACACAGGAATGCACGCATGTTTTTCATCTGTGTGTGTTCATATATAGGGAGGAAGGGGAGGGGGGGAAGGAGACAGAAACAGAGACAGAGACAGGGAGAAGGGAAATCACAAACACATCATAATGTTAGTAGGTAAATCGGACAAAGGATTTCTGGTTTCACCATGCATGCAACTTTCCACAAGTTTAATAATCTTCAAATGAATACATTTTAAAAATGGACCATTGATTGTTTTCCTGAATTATACCTGGCCTCTGAGATTCTAGCTTTGATTTTCTCAACTACCACCACCCACCCAGACCCCAGAGGTGCGCAGGGCCAGCTGTAAGGCAGTTGTCTGGCCCTGGCCAGTCTGGTTCAGCAGTTAAGAGTGTTGGCCTGTGGACCAAAGAGTCATGGGTTTAATTCTGGTCAAGGGCACGTACCTCAGTTGCAGTTCCATCCCCGGTGCTGGTTTGGGTTGTGCAACCAATCAATGTGTCTCTCTCACATCGATGTTTCTCACTCTCCCTCCCTCCCTCCCTCTCTATCTGGAGATCAATGGAAAAATATCCTTGGGTGAGGATTTAAAACCAAAAAAGATGTCTGATTCTGTCCCAGGCAAGAAACCTGGCATCCACTTCACAAGTGAAGTATGCGAACTTTTCTAAAGGATTTTTCAAATTATAGGAAACGGTCATGACTCCCCGCAAAGAATAAAAGGCTTTAAAAAATTATGTAAAATATGAAACAAAAACAATGAAGGAACAAAAAATTCAAAATGTTTACCGCACGGAACCCCTCGTTCCCTGTCAGGCCCCCAGGTGGTTGGTCTCGGGGTGGTGGTGACTGGGTTTGCAGCACTTCCTCCGCTCTGCTGCTCACGGAGCCTCTGCCCCTGGATGCCCAGCTTCCAGAGACATGGGGACACCTGCTGTCTTGTCCTCTCCCCTATTTGTCCTTCTCAAGAACTTATTCACTTTAAATCCTTTACTTGTTTTACTTTCAATAGAGTTCACACACCATACGATTCACCCATTTAAAGTGCATAATTTCATGATTTTACTATATTCACAGACATGTGCACCCCACAACCAATTTTAAAACATTTTCATGACTTCAGAAAGAACCCTTATAACCTTTAGTTATCATCCCTCTCCTCCCCTTCCCCACCCCCAGTCCTGAGCCACCACTAATGCGTTCTCTGTTTCTCTAGTCTCCTCTGTTTTGGACATTTCATATGAATGGAATCATGTGATCATTTGTGACTGGCTTTATTCACTTAGCATTGTGCTTTCAAGGTTCATCTGGGTTGTAGCATGTATTAATAGTTTTTATTACCAAAACATATTACATTGCATGGATATACCATGTTTTATTTACCATTCATCAGTTGATGGACTTTTGGGCTGTTTCCACCTTTGACTAGAACAAGTACTGGATACCGCTGCTCTGAACATTTGTTTACAAGTTTCATTTCTCGTGAGTGTATAGTTAGAGGTGGAATTGTTGGGTCATATAGTAACTGACATTTTGCGGAAGGGCCGGACTATTTCTCAAAGTGGCTGCCCCACTTTTCATTCCCACCAGCAGCGTATGAGGGTTCCACTCTCCACATTCTCAGTGACACTTATCTGAATTTTTTTATTCTAGCCATATTTTGTGTCTTGCTACCTCATACCGTTTTGATTTGCATTTTTTTTCTGATGGCTAATGATGTTGAGCATCTTTCCATCTAATCTTTTACTTTTAAAGGCATTTTGGGAAGAAAAAGATAAACAAGTGTGTCTGATCTACTGTGTTTAAGTCATGTTCATGCGTGACAGAAAAAATTTTCTTCTAAATATTTGAAAACATACAGCGATGCCGATTCTGTAGTTTTCTACTTGTATACATTTAGCATTTAGCATAGTTTCGGTGTGACTGAGGAACAGCAGTGCTGTGCACCGGGTTTGCTCTGTGAGATTACGTCTCGTATGCAGTTGAGAGAAGCGTTCACTCACCTGACCCCTCAGGGTTGACTGACAGGCGAGCAGACCTGATGCCGAAGCCTCAGAGCTGGACGCCGGCACGTCTGCGCAGAATCAGTGGGATCCACGCGTGGAGACCACCAAGAGCAGTGAGCGCGCGGACATGCGCACAGAGCATGTGTCCGAGAGACGGACGACCAGGTGTTCAAAGGGCCTTTTCACTGTGCTGTGAAAATGGGGTGTATTACACAGGCCAGATGATAATTGTGGGAGTTGGCTGAGGGTACAAGGGAAGATGTATTGTTCTGTCTGCTCTTATGCATGTTTAGACATTCCTGTGTTAAGCTTTACAAAATAAAAGATGTTGGGTACCTCACAAGGAGAGGGAGGGGACAAAAGGGACCTGGCAGGGGTGCACCAGGCCACCAAGAAGGGGCTCCAGCTCCCTCAGGAAGGTGTCTCCAGGGAGTGTCATTCCTTTGAGGTTGGGAAGGAAACCTCTTTCCGTATAACAGGAAGGAAAAAGGAAAGGAAGAATGTTTAAGTGTTTTGTTGAAAAGTCCCCATCGCATGGCCTCTAGCTCCTCTGTGAACTGTGGTCCAGCACATCTGTGGAGGAGTGGAGGTGGCCTTAGTTTGGGGAAGTGAGACTTGAAATACTTTTGAGTAGCTTTGGGGAGAAAAGGGACTAAGGAAACAGAGACCTAAGCTCCATTTGTTTGGTTACACGTTAGTAAGCATGACATTTGTATTTGTGGAATGAATGAATGAGTTCCAGGTAGTTCCGGGGCACCAGTAGAATTGACTGTGAGATTTAATCCAATAGAAATCAGTTACTTATAGGAAGACATTTCTGCAAAAACACAGAGTTGAAATTTGCCCGACAGGAAGGATTAAAGGGGACTGGGAGGGGCCCATTGTAGTGGAGCTTTTTGAATGTTACCTGATAGACCATCAAGTCCACCTGGGCAAGGGAGGCAGACAAGAGCTTCGTGGATGGACAGGGAGTGAGTGGGAAAATGACCTGGATTTGCAAAATTAACAATGGGCATCTATGCTGGAAGGATAGGGGATGAGGCCAAAGGTGTGGCAGGTCCGGCTGGACTCCCGAAGGCACAGGTGTGCCTGGTGATAGCTCTACGGTGTGGCAGTACCTGCACTGCAGTGAAGTAAAGGGCCCTAGATGAGACGATGTAGGAACTGGGGGCTGGGTTACTGGCTGCTTGTCCACAGGACGTTTGAGCCCTCCACTGCCTGCTCCCCTCTTCAAGTTCCCTGCCTGGGGCCCATGCCACCTTTCTGTCCCTACTAGAAGTTTCACAGATCTGAACCTTTTCTGTGACCCCAAGCTTCAGACATGGTAGGGTGAACGCATCACTCTGGACAAGAAGATACAAGTGTGGTGGTGAGAGAGGGCTGTGGTGCACATCTGCGGTTCTTGTTTTGTGTTTCCTCTGTACACCCAGGATTCACAGGGCTCACTGGGAAAGCTCCCTGAAGTGCCCACCAGGACACTCACTCCATTTGTGATTCAGTCTGTGCAAGTGGACTTGCCTTCCCTCCTGACCGCTGTAGTAAGGGTGTGTGTGTGTGCAGCTTTGGCCAAAAACAGCATTCCACGGAGGCCCATGGTGAGCCCTCAAATATCTGTAACCCTGGCGCATAGTCTAGAACTCACCTCTGGCTCGTGAGCCGCAGGTGTTCTGGGGAGATTTATTATAGCTCCACCAAAGCCATGAATATCCAAGGTGACATCTCCACCCTGATAGGGGAACTGTGCACACCAAGGGCAAGATCGTATATATTTCCATCCAGCATGGACGGTAGGAAGGCACCAAGGTCACCTTTCCCATAGACAGGGATGCCATGCCTGATGACGTCCCTGCCAATACTGATCGAGTACTCGAGGAACAGCTGTGCCTCTCTGGTGTAACACCTCAGTGTGCTGTGCTGTGCTCTGATCAGCCCTGGCAGGTGGAGCTTAGGTCAGTGTGAGGAAGCTGGGAGCAAGGCAGTGTCCCAGTGTGGGGCTGACGAGCCATCAACCTGTGTTCCACCAGCAAAGTCACTCTTTCCCTTCATTGATTCTTCCTTTCTCACTCATTCTAAGGCATCTTTTTCTTTTCAGCTTTATTTTACCTGGGAGGTAGGTGCCTGCCTGGTTAACATTCATTCCTACCACTGAGAGCTGAGTGATGCTTTTGCTCAGCAAAAAAAAAAAAAAAAATATATATATATATATATATATATATATATATATATACACACACACACATACATATCATCAATCCCTCAGCTTGAAGAAATAACTGGAGATGGGAACCACTTTTTCAAGGTGCCTTTCCAGTAGGCACACTTCAGGTTAAAGTATGTGCTTCCCTAACATGTTAACATGACCCACAAGAAAGATCTTTGAATAAGGTCTATTTCTGTTCCTAGCCCTACCCCAACCAGCCCAGGATCCACTGCAGCAACATCCCCCCAAACACTCCCATTCAGGGTTCACCCACCTGAGGGATCCTCTCAGAAAGAATGATTAAGCCACTGTCTGTTTTTCACTGATATCTCTGAGAAATGTACACATCCTTCATCTTCAGCTACAGACGGCCTGTCTTCCCTTCTGCCCTAAAGGATGTAAAGCATCCCCGAGGGGCAGGTGCAGGCTGCTGTCCGTGTTCACCAAGGCTGAGCTGTGAGGAGGAGGCAGAGCCCACCTCCCAAACTTCATCGGGAGGAAGTTGGCTTCAGGGGAGGACACGTGATTGTTTCTCAACAGGAGTCCAGGGGACTGGTCACTTTAGGAAGCCAAAGGAGGCAATCAGTAGGAGCTGAACTAACTCCTTTTCCTAAGCACAAGCCCTGAGATACCCCAAACCCATGTCCCAACACAGGACACAGAAAAGACATCACTATTGTTAGAGAAAATTTCATTAGACAAGTTAGTATTCTTCACAAGGAGGCAATTATTTGGCTGTGGGAACTTTGGGAATTTTTTTCCCCTGGAAATTTTGGGGAAGCGTTTTTGGTCTAAGTCGTGGAGACTGATCTCTGAACTCAGTGCCTTCAGCAGTGGTGAGAGCAGCAGGAGGTCCCTGGGCAGCTTGAGGCCTGAAGGTGGGGCTTGGACGGGGCACAGTCCCCCTGCGGGGCACAGATTGGGGGTGCTTCTGACATAGTTGCTGATCCTTTAATGCCACAACTTTCTGGGGGTGTCTGCCCTTGTTTCTGGTCTGTCTACTACTTGCAGAGCTCTGGCCAGCGAAGATGGCTGCTTGGCGGCCGGACTTGGTATGTGTCACTTTACAGGAGGGAGTCCTGGAGCGGAATGGATGCCCCTGGACAGGCTCTGCCCGGGCCCCCACTGCTGCCTTCTGCTGAGCTTTCCCGAACTCCACTGCAGAGGGAAGGGGCTCCTGAGGGCAGGTGGTATCGACTGCATGCCGACGCCTCTGTTTCTCTTCTGGGAACTTCCCAATGTCAGACCTGACTCTCTGAACCTTCATCCTCCCAGGAAAGGGGGTTCTACTTTTGACTGGGCCTCTGCTCTGTGCAGATGATATGGGCCTGCCCTTGTTCTGGGAGTGTTCTTGCTCTGTGAATTTTCTCTCGGGATGAAGCCATTGGAAAAAGGTCTTCATTTTACTTATGAAAAGGCTGTCTGGAGATTGTCCCTTCTGTGGCAGGGTCTGGGGAGGCTTGCCACCAAGCATCTCCTCTAATGCTGTGTCCTGAGAAGGAAATCTCTTCCTTCTAGCTTGGGAAGGCCTCAACCCTGCATCTCCTCCACTTCTCAACCCTGCATCTCCTCCTCCAAGCTCTTCTGATCGGGAGCCTGCGGGGCTCACTTTCTTTACAGCTGGTGGGAAACGCTTATCCTCACAAATCCTCAAGACGTTCTTAGGAACCCAAGGTTCCTGCCTGTGCTCCATACTGACTCCTCTGTCCTCCAAATGGACATGCAGCACCTGGACAGCTCCCGTGTCCACAGTGGAGACATCCTGAGCGGGAGACAGGGAGGCTTTGCAAGTCAAGCTGTCCGAGTCATGGTGCGTGTCAGTGGGTTGGCCTTGGGCCTGGCTGTGGTTCCCCTTCTCCAGTTTAGACTTTAACTCATCAATGAGTTGCTTCTGTAAGTCTGATAATTTGGAATCTGACATTTTTGGTGGGGACTCTTCAGTGGTCACAGTAGTTTCTCCTTTATTCTCATCCACATTTATCTTTTGGGAAATTTCTGGTTTGCTGGTTGTTAAGAGGTCACTAGATTTGGATCGAAGAGCATCGAGCTCCTCGGCCCTAACTGTCTTCTTCACGGTGGGCATGGAAGCAGGTTCTGACTTCTCCCCATTTGTGCCCCGTGGTATTTCTGCTCTGTCACTGGCATTCACAGTCTTGTCCTTCAGCTCATGCCCGGTCCCTGCTTGCACTGTGGGCAGCTTTGGGGGTCGAATGTTGGGTCTCGGAGTATGTCTCTCACTTGTTTTGCTAATGGTACTGTTTGTGACAGGCAGAAGAATCTTTTTGGCATTCAGAATCTTTTGTAGTTCTTCTGAAAGTCCTTGTCTGATATCAGAGGGTGAATTTGTCAGGGTCCCTTGTCCTTCCTTGTCCACAAGTGGGGTGGCAGGGAGAGGAAGATTCAGGATGGTGGCTGAATTCTCTGGTCCCTCTCTGTCCACGTGGGGGGATTTAGAGTTTCCTCTCAGGGCTGTGAAGCCCCCAGATTCGGAGCTCACCTCAGAAACCAGGTTGGTTGAAGAGGAAGACTTGGAAACAATCAAGGAAGGGGGTGAAGTATCTCTCAATTTAAAGGTCTCTATGGACTTACGGACTATGGGGGGAAGGCCCTGCACCATCCTTGTACGAAACTCAGTAATGTGGGCTTCCAGCATCTGCTGAGCGCTGGACTGAAGGAAGGAAAGCTCCTGGCATGTACTCAGGCGGCAGCCCCCACCCACGGGGGCTGGCCCACTGCTCCGTGCTGTTTCGGTGTGGGGCTTCCCAGGAGTCTGCCCGATCGTGTGCCGTGAACTATGCACAGTCCCAGTGTGCCTACCCTTATCGATGTTCTCAAACTTTTTGCTTGGATGTCCTTTCAGGACACTTTCCAGCTGTCTCTGATTTACACTCTGTCCTGACATCATTGAGTTTTCCCCTGACAGACTCATCATGTAAGTGTCATTTCCTACATCTTTATGTGAAGAGCTCTCTGAGTCTCTTAGCAAATGATCTTTTGGATCACCCCCTTGTCTCTCTCTCTCATCCTTCCCCTCATCCTCCTCTAGCTGAAACAGGTCTGAAGCCCTCTCGTAGAAGCTTCCTGGTTGGCTCAATCCAATATGTAGATTTTTGCTACTCTGGCCCTTGTACACAGATACCTGTGAGAGGCCATAACTGCTCTTTGACTTCGATATGCCTGAGCAGTCACTCAGTGGCCTCATCAGTGACAGGGATTCGTGGACCTTGTCGGGCAGGCCCTGCTGTTGTTGGATGAGCCCCTTTCTAAGGTGATGCTCAAATTTCTCTTGACGTTCACTGTTGACAGAAAACTCTGCAGGATCAGTGGAGATTGAAACACGGACATTAGCGGACTGGCAGTAAGGAGAGGTGGGAGCTGAAGGACAGGAGTCTTTCTTGGGATTTTGAATCACAGAGGGTGAATCCCACAAACTTTCCTGTTTCTTCTCCAACACATTCCGTTTCAGGTGTTGAATTTCAGATGAGGTGAGACATTCTGATTCATTCTGGGGTGTATGGACATATACTCCAGAGACTCTAAATTGGGGTGTGGGACTGGATGGTAGGCTTGGGAGTGGGGATTGATGGTGGGCCTGGGGTTGGAGCTCAGTGAGAGGTAGGGTTGGAGGCAAGGATTGAGGTTGGCCCTCAGGCAAGGATGCAGGTAGGAAATAAGGAAGTGCTGGGTATTCTTGGCCTGTGGAGGCATTTGAGATGCTATTGAAAATAATGATTGAGGAATAGTCACCTGAGACATGGACAGCAGAGGTCAAGGACTCGCTGTGCAAAGACGGAAGACCCCAGAAAAACTGGGTAAATTTTTGCTTTAAAAGGTCCTTCCAGTTTTTAGGATATGAGGACTGCTGTACCGAGTCATGCTCATCAGAGCTGAGAAATGGGAGGTGTCTAGGATCTATAAGTTTGGCTGCAGTGTCTCCCCCAAAAGAGGTCTTTGTGGAATGGAGGGCAGAAAACTCTTGATGGAAATCACATTGTGTCGAGGTTGAAGAGAGCAAGTCTTTGGGTTGGGGTGGGGAACAGTGCACTGGGAATTTGGATTCCAAGGGAGGAAAAGGCTCTGGAGACAGGGTTTGACCCGGTGATGAGGGTGACAGAAAACTACCCAAGGGGGTCATTGGGTTAGGGGAGAGAATGGAGGGGGGAGGGGGGAAAGGCTCAGGCAGAGGAGGTGGTATCAGGTCCCCTGGAGGGACTGCTGAGATGGCAGAGGACTGAGTGAACAATGGCTCAGTCGCAGGAGCTGTGGGAGCCCAAGGGGACACAGAGGGAGTAGACTCTTCCAGGCCCTCTGAGTACAGCAGCTCCTTGATTTCAGCGGTTGCATTATTACACACCTCACAGGAGGGGTCTGGACATAAAAGTTGACGAATGCAGCTGTTATCATGATGCTGGCCCAGGGGGCTGCAGGAGACAGGAGGTACAAAGCTGCAGCCAGGACTAGAACAAGGAGAGGAGGACCTACTGGCCCGGTGGGGGTGGGGCCACCTGAAGCCTGCTGCCCCTTCCCATTGCTCCACACCCATGACTTCACAGTGCACTCAGCAGCACCCACCCCAAGGCATTCACTCACATGCCCGTTCCTATGGCAACCCTTCCCATGACTACGGAAGGCTCCACTGGATCCCTGGAATTGCGTAGAACATGCTACAGAGAGATCAGGAAAAGGGGGGAAAGACTAGTCACCTTCTCAAGATAGAAATCAGGCTGTTTTTTTCCTCTTCCCTGTGGTAATATCCTGAACCTGGGAAATCAGGAGAGTGGGTTACATGCAATGAAGGTAGATGCATAGGCATTAAACAGGAGTCCCTATATGGGCGACCAATGGGATATGAGACTCTTAAAGCCCCAGAAGTTAGTAGATGAAGTCAAGTGGTCAATGTTAACATTAATAAGGTCCCCATGTATATGGGTTACTTCATTTATAAAGTACTTTTAAACACATTATCTCATTTGCTCTAAACAACTCTGTGAAGCAAAGAGGTTAGTGGTTACAACAAAGAGGAATCTGATCATCCTCCATCCAAAGTACTTTCACAAAGTCAGGAGACAGAAGTTCTGACTCTCGCCGTCTATGGAGCAACACCCATGGCCAAGGTCCCTCACTGCTTCAAACCCAGGGACGGCAGAGCAGGGAATCTGAGAAGTGTCTCAGGTTCTGTCTTTCCATGAGCCTCTCCTCTGAGGGCTCTGTTTCCTGAGCAGGTGTATCTACCAAGTGACACAGAGATCATGGACCTGGTGCCTCATGGAAGGAGAGAGAAAGGGTCCCCGTGGGGAGCTCGGGTGGAATAGGCGGAACCTTACCTTTCGGTGTCCCACCTTTCCTTCTCCTCTTGGCTCTGCCCTGACGCTGAGAACACAAAGGAAAGAGTAAGGGGTTGGGACTCATTTCTCACTCCTCTCCCTCGGAAACTCAGACATTTATTATCCAAGAACAGTGTCTCTCTGAGCTGACCAATGCATTGTAATTAATAGAACTTTGTGTCCCTTCCTTGTGTTCATTTTCAATGTTTTAATTTTTTTCTTCTTAAAAAACTCAAGGAAGGATTTTGTCTACGAGGTCCACACTTGGTGTTCTCAGAGGTCCTCTGCTCACTGAGGCACATAATCTGAGGTCTGCAGTCATGTCTGTTTCCTCAGAGAGGACCCTGTACCCTTGGACGGTGCTCAGGCTGCAGCCTCTGCTCAGAGGCTCTCAGAGGCTCAGCACTGCTCTCCTGACCAGCCGAACACAAAGGGTTGGTCCAGTGATGCCTGACGGGAGTATGACTCGTGACAAAGTGCTGGTTAACTCTGATGTCCTACACAGATCCCCAAGTCTCTGAATAACTTGACCCAGAACCAGGGAACCACTGTGTTTGTAGCCAGAAACCTGCCACCACACCCAGATGGTCTGTGAGACTCCTATGGAAACCCAAGTCCTCCCTGAACCCCTAGACCTGCCTGGTCTCTTCCCCTGGTCTGTTGGTGCTTGCTCAGGGTTTCTTACCTTTCGTGTGTGTTCATTTTTCCAGAAGGCTGGGATGGATGGAATTACCACAGTGAAAATGAAGAAGAGGAGGAGCAAACACAACACACAGATGTAAATTAGGTTGCTGTTACTGTCTAAAGATTCTGAGCAGAAGCTCAGATAAAGCTCTCGTAGGCTATTGAGAAATAGACTGGGTTCCATTTTCAGAATGGCAAAGCTGCTTGAGCTCTGAGAGTGCAGACTCTTGACTTTATTGCCAGGCCTGCATCACAGAGCATTGTGGAGTCACACAGGGTTTCTGAGGGTGGGGGAGGGTACACCTTCAAGAGGATGTGTCCACAGCCCCTCCCCACACCAGCCCACCAGATTTCCTCCAGCCCTCTTGGGCCTCTAGGTCCTTCTGCCCTACTCTGCTATCCTGTTTTTCAATTTCCCTTTTAACATGTTATATATTTACCTTAATAAGGGCTCTTGTTTGCGTCATCTGTAATCCAGATATTTCCTGGGTCCCCTTTAATGTTTGGAGACCTTGACTTTCAGTGTCACCATGTCCACTACCTTACAAGTCTGAGGTCCTGCCTGGAAATTATGCTTGTGCCCAGACATTTACACCGAGGACCATATATGTCCTCAAATCCAAATTACACAAACCTGGGTACAGAACTTAAAGTTTCTTTAGACTTTCTTAGTTTTGTGAATGTCAAGTAGCAAATTTTAGTTTTTATCAGTAAGTTATAAATGAACAATAAATGTTTAAAACACCATCCCTCCCAGGAATACATCACACATATTTTACATATATCTACCCCTAAGTTCTGGAATAAAGCTCTCCCCAGGACACTTCAGGCAGCCATGGGGGTGGTTCAGGTGGTGGTGGGCACAGTGAGATCCCCAGACAACCCCATGACATCTTCCCAGTTGAGGTCCATCACTACACAGAAGTCCGGTCCCAGATTTCAGAATATACTCAGTTCTATTGTCTCCAAGGGGGAGTGTGTTCCAGAAGCTGTGCTAGAATAACGTGCTGCTATTTAGGGGGGCTCACTGGAGATAAGTCATTAGTTTAGGATTCTCAGAAGTTTTCAGATTCCTAGGGACCCTCCTCAGTGCTCCCTCACTCCCGTCCCGATCACTACCCCTGCGCTGGACCACATGGGTGCAGCTGTTTTCAGGATCCCCAAAGGCATCTGGTTCAAATGGAAAGGATGTAGCCTCTCAGGGCCGTCCGCGCTCCCGTTTACGTAGTCATGGACATGACATACTTACCCTGTGCTCATGTTGAGTCTCACTGAACTCTCGCCATCATGGGTCCAGTGGCATCTGTGCCCGGGGGCTTCCCATATGCTGTATGTAAATGGAAAGGCAGGTACCTAGCGGGCATCCCCTCTGCTCATGGGCGTGCACCATTGTCTCCTCGGACTTCACTTACAAACCCGAGTTAGATAAAATTAAGAACCTCAAAACAGTGACAGTGGAGCATTAAGCCCGCCCTGAGTGCTCCTGGGTGTGTCCCCTGAGTGACAGCGCAGGTGGTATTCCTGTGTCCTGCTGTGCAGCTTGGTTCCTCACCTCGGCTCACATCCTGGTCTTCCCACGTTTGACCGCATGAACTTGAGGGTGTTAGTCAACCTCTTGGAACCTCGGTGTCCTCATTGGTAAAACAGGAATGCACTTAGTGCTTATTTTCAGCTGTGGTATAAGGCATTTGTCCAGTGTCTGTCCTAGTATGGCCAACAGAAATATAATGTGAGTCAAGAAAGCCAGTCCCATAATGTATTTTTAATTTTTTTACTAGTTACCTTTATAGAGCTCAGTCCCTGAATTTTTTTCCAGGTCTTTGCTCAAAAGTAACTAACATGGACTTCCGGTCAAGATGGCGGCGTAGTAAACGCGGTATCGCGTCCTCCCACAACCACATCAAAGTTACAACTAAACTACAGAACAACCATCATTCAAAACCACCTGAAATCAAGCTGAATGGAAGTCCTACAACGACGGAATTAAAGCAGCAGCCACATCGAGATGGTAGGAGGGGTGGAGGCAGAGGGGCTGGTCCCACACCCACTTGTAACAGATAAAAATCAGGAAGACACCTCAGCTGGGAAGGTCCTTCCTGAGGACTGAGGGGGTCCCCGTCCCACACCAGGTACCCCGCTCAGGGTTCCAGTGCCAGAAAAAGAATCCCCATAACTTCTGGCTGGAAAAACCAGCGGGAACTGAGGCTCAGGGAGGCTGAAGCGGCTGGAGCCCCAGGCAGCTCCTTAAAGGACCCGCACATGGACTTATCGGACTCTCTCCCTCTAAGCTTGGAGGGGAGGCAGCTCGAGGGGCACCAGAGACATACAAGGAAGAACTGAGCTGTTTGGCACTGGAGCGAGGGCTGGAGAGGGGGCTTTCTCTGGGATAAACATGCTGTCAGAGGCCTTTGTTCCTTTGGTGAGTCCTTCCCTGGGGCGGCAGACAGCGGCCATATCTGGGACTCCAGCAACCTGGCTCACACTGGTAGCCCCGCCCTGGTGACTCCCTGAGGCCCCGCCCCACCCAACTTTCAGGCCCACCCAAGCTGTTGCCACTTGCTTAACCATAGGATTGGCCTGTCTTGGATCCTGCTTCAGGTCTTTCCTAAATTCTTTCAAACAAGCAGCATCTGGTGTCAGCTAGCCCCATACCTCTTGTTAAGTAATACACAGAAACAAACACAGGAGGCAGCCAAAATGAGGAGACAAAGAAACAGGTCCCAAATGAAAGAACAGAACAAAACCCCAAGAAAAGAACTAAGCGAAATGGAGATAAGCAACCTAACAGATGCTGAGTTCAAAATACTGCTTATAAGGATCCTCAATGAACTCAGTGAGAACCTCAGTGAACTTAGTGAGGGCCTCAAGAGCATAAAAAAGGACCAGTCAGAAATTATGGATGCACAGTCAGAATTGAAGGAGGCATTAACTGAAATAAAGAATAATTTACACAGCTTCAATAATAGAGTATGTAAATCCAAGGAGCAAACCATCGATTTGGAATATAAGGAAGCAAAAAATGCCCAATCAGAACAGCAAAAAGAAAAAAGAATCCAAAACAATGAGGATAGTGTAAGGAGCCTCTAGGGCAACTTCAAGCGGGCCAACATTCGCATCTTGGGGGTGC